TAGTAGTAGTAGGAGTAGTGGTGGTAGTAGGAGTAGAAGTAGTACTAGTAGCAGCAGCAGCAGCAGCAGCAGTAGTAGTGGTAGTACTAGTCGAAGAGGAAGTAGTAGTGTAGTAGTAGTACCAGTAGTAGCGGTGGTACTGGTAATGGGAGAGGTAGTGGTGGTGGTGGTGGTGGTGGTGCTGCTGCTGCTGCTGCTGCTGCTGCCACCGTTGGTGTTGCATCGTCGTCGTTGTTGTCGTTGTTGGTTGCTGTTGTCTGTGGCCGCCATCATCGTCGCTGCTGTCGTTTCTGGTGAGCAAGAGTGCTGTGTTTGCAGAATCTACAGAATCTACCATCATCAGATGAACAATGCTTGTGATCTATCTTCGAGGGTGGACTTGTACAGAAGACATGTCTTGGGAAGCCAACCCCTGCGTTTCCAGGTGAAGTCATAGTGAACAAGCAGCCCGCGAGGGAAAGCATTCAACCTCCTTTTAAATTCTGCGAAGCTGTCAAATGTTGCATGAACCCGTGGGCATCGAGCACGCATGACGAACCCGCATCCAGCTTGTACAGCATTCTGAAGATACACATGAATTCATTTTCGGTTTTGCTGGTGAAGGCAGTAAATATACCTGCGCATAGTGGGGCGAAAACAGCTCGTTTCTGGCATGCCGTCTTCTGGAACCTTTCACATGCATACTCAGCACGCAGCAAGCGGCTCTCACTGGGAGCCGCAGATCATATCCTTTCCATCACCCAATCGGAACGAAGCATGGATTGTGTGGCTGGGCCTGGTTCGTAGCGGCGCTATGGACAGAAGCAAAACTTCTGCTACGACGAGACAGTTAAAGGCGGCATAATAATGCCTTGTGCCCAACTCCTACAATTCCCATCTTCATCCTGCCAGCATCGAAGAAGCTAGCCGCTAGGGTGATACATTCACACGGTGTATCGTTCAAATCGAGCTCGAGCCCTTGACGAAATTAAGTGCAGTCACTCTCATGAAATTCGTGGTTAGCCTGAGCTTGGCTGAGCTACGCTGTGCCGAACAACATTTTTTGTCTTGTTTTTTCCTGAAAGTTCTTATAAGCAATAGTACAACAACAAAAGGAAAATTGCGCATCATAGCTGATGTATGAAGTAACATCAAGGCAAGGATGGAGGCTCGGTGCAGCAGGACAGCATTCGGAGTGACTGTGACCTTTTCAAGGGCTCCCGTCAACTAGATTCGGGAATCCTCGGATTCGTTCACACTTCCTGAATGGCAGAATCAAGAACTCGAGTTGGAAGTTGTGAACTGCACGAACTCAGACGTTCTCAGATCTAGTTGTTTCGGGAAGCCCGTCGCTCAGGGTCTTCATGTGGCTTCTTGTTGCGTGGGTACGGTTGATAAGATGGCGGCAATGCTACAGCACTACGAGGAATGCAGTTGGAAGTACTTATTGAACTTCAACAAGAGCAGTCTGAAGCAGCTGAGATGTTGGTACTGATAGGTGGTAGCGGTATGTAGCGGCAGAGTGCCGGTCCACAGCAGAACATCAGCATCAGCTGTGCTGACGATGCGTTCCTCGTTGTTACGACCTCCTTTTCACAGTGTCAACCTACATGCATCGAGGACATGTTTGCTTCAAGGCTTGTTCCAGTACGCCTCTGACGGCCCTGTCGACTGTAAATTGATTTTGCTGACGGGGTCCCTGCTGATGGGACAGCTGACGATCCACTAGCTTGACCAGACATAACAGGACCTCTGTCGCTTCACGCTCCGCACAGCGCCGAGTTCTGAAGAGAATACGACCCCATCTTGTCTCCAGAGTCTTGGGGGTTCTAGCCGATACATTCAGGCTGCGTGTCCAGCTACCGCAGGTAGAAGCCTTTCGTCATGTGCCACGCTCGCACCATGCTGCAAGGAAAAGCAGCCAGCATCAACATAGCGCGAGAGCCTGTGCGCATGTCAGCCTGTGCAGTAGCACTTTGTGCTTTAAAGTACTCTAAAGCACGTCCTTGCATGGCGACGTCTCAGGCTTGGTGGCTTAGTGTCATCTTCCCATGAGGTCTTGCCAACTTGCCAACCTTACTGCCAAGATCGGCAATCCACTGCTTGTGCGTTTGATGGACTTGACTCATCGGTTGGGGCAGAACCATCGTCGAGAGGACGAAGCCGCACAGAGAAAAAAGGCAAGCCGAGGGTTGTCTTCGGTTTGCATTTTGCTTTCTGTTAGCTAGAACCGCAAGTGCCCAAACGTAAATACCTTACGTTGTGAGGGATTGGGGACATGATACAGGCATGTCCAGAAATTGCATGCGGCTTTCCTTAGCTTCCTCACAGCTCGCACCACCTTTTCAGCCTTGCCAGGTGAAGTGATTGGAACGTTGGCAGCACAAAGCCAGTACCTTATTCGGGGAGTTATCCTTCAGATTTTAGGACAACTGCGAACAAGGCCGACGTTTTATGCGTCAAGTTGTAAAGCAAGGCTTGGAATTGCGAATCGATGGCCACGTACAGCTTTGTTGTCATGTACCTCGTTGAGGTGTTGGTGAGCCCGCGACACAAATGACGCTGGCACGCCCCTTCCATCACAAACGTGCCTGCAGAGGGACGGTGGCTGATGTGTTGACAGACAGGTGCAGCTGTCAGTAACTGTCAGTATATCAGACACGCTACCCTGGCGTACTGACTCCCTACGCTCTCTGTCCCTCCCCCTGACTCACCTATTTACTCCCGCAGTATCACACCCAGCCATATGGAATGGTCGTGCGGAAATCAGTTTCTCCCAGTTTTCTACCGGTACGAGGGTGCACCACAGAGCGCAAACGGCAATCAAATTAACAAGAATTAGCAACATCCGTAACATCCAGTGGTCATCTTGGAGAACACAGTATCCAACCCAAGCAACCGGCACCCATGTATCCAGAACTTGGCTTGTATTCTATTTGCAGCATTGGTCGCAGAATACCTTCCACTTCGCCGGAGTGGGTGCCAAGAACGTCACGCTGGGGGTGCCCCGCTTGAAGGTCGGCTGTTGCTTTGAAGCTTTGCAGGCAAAACTTCCATGGTTTGAGCAGTCCTTCTGTTTGGACTTGCTTGCGATTCGGCAAACGGCCCGAGAGCCAACGTAGGGCCAAGACAAACCCCAGATGCTCCGTCTAGCTGCGCTGTGTCACATGACAGCGCTCGTAAGGCTCGCCCCGTGTAGTCTTGTGAGCGTGTGAGGAGCTGATCAACGTGGCGAAGGTAGTGAAGACGCCTTCCTTGGCCCTGGCCCTAACAATTAGCTCAAGTCGTTGGTAGAGGCACCGGCTTTGCACGAAGCCGCATGCGCCCTAGCGAAATATCATAGCAAGACATGAGCCCCAGGCTGTATATCTGAGCGGGGACCTGGGTCAAAACCAGGAACGCGCCAAGGACGAGCCCGAAAAGGGCCAGGGATTCGTCACACAGGCCACGAATCGAAGTCCCCTGCCTGGCTGGCTGCAGGATGTTCAGAGTATGCTTGAGCACACGACCCTCGAGAAGGTGACCTCCTTCACTCAGGCAACTGAGCCACGCTATTTGGCACTTGCAAGTGTTTACTTTACAGGAAGGAAGGGCTACCCTTACTTTACTACCAGTGCCATTTCTGGCCAGCAAGCCTACATACTCTGTGCAGGCTTCAAGTCAAGAAGATGTTGGGATTCAGGCGTAGACCGCACAGCAAAAGTAAAGATAAAGGCGGTATGGAGCCAGACAGGCCAAGAAACGAATCGCACTTGTTGCCGCAGATCTTCTGGGATCCCGATCCGGAGCATACGCTTGTCGAGGAGGATCAGGAGTGGGTCTCCTTGTGCCCCCGCATCTGTGCCGAACAGTCTCGTCCTTTTTTGTTTTGTGTATGTTGTCTCGGAGCTACTTCAATGCTACCGGTTGCTTCTGTCCGGTGACGTGATTTTCGACTGCTTAGGCCTCCATACTGTACTAAGCAAAGCTGCTTGATTCGTCTACTTGATTTGTCCGAGCTTTGTAAAACAGTCTCACCTAGAGCTCAAGGCGTGCACCTGCCCAGCAATCGGAATTCGCCAGCGGCAGGTACTACGAGCTTCCAGACGAGGACGAGAACCCGCAGCGCTGTGGACCCTGGCTCCAGCCTAAGGTTTCATTCATGGGGAAAGTTTTGCCAACTTCCTCCCAGGTCAGCTTGCTAGAATAGCCTTCAGAACTAAGGCTGTTGCGCATCCAGTTGAGCAACAAGGCTCACTAGACAGAAGCAGAAGCAATCACGGTGTGACGAGACGCGTTACATGGCGGTAGTGTTGGCATCCAGCCAATCGCCCACTTCTTGCCAGGTCATGACTGACAAAAAGCTTACAGTGCGCGAGGTTCACCGGTCGCACAGGGCTGTGCGGCTGCCCTGCTCAGAAATGGTTCCAAATAAAAATACCCCACCATGAGTCAGCAAGTGGCAAGTGCAATCTCCGAGAAAGAAAGGGTGCAGCCGGCCGATTGCAGGTGGGAGAGCGCATCCTGAGCGATTTCCAGAATGACCTCGACTGCAACTAGACTGAATCTTCTTCGGATCTCCGGTCTTGAGTGGCGGTTTTCAGTTTCTGAGGCATCTTCACAGATGACAATGCCGAAGAGCTCGTCCTCCGGATTCGACTTCTCAAGGATGCGGGCCCAGCACTACACTACTCTGTAGCTCGCACTATTAACTCAGAACTCTATCCTGCGAGCCAAGCAGGGGGAACCGTGGTGAACGATAACCCTGCGAACTCAGCTTGCCAAAGAAACGGATTACCAGAAATTGCAATGATTGGCCATCTTCTTTTGCCTGTATCCGTGCGTGCTCTTGGCAGGGCCGGCGGCCTCATTTTCTCATAGTACATGTGGTCATGACCTTGAGGAGCCTGATCAGATCGGTGTCGTCTGAGTCTCAGCCACGCTTCTGAAAAGGCAGTCGTTAAGGTTTTCCTCAGAAGTAAGCATAGTAGCCAAGTTGTATAGGTGTTCAAGCTTCGCAATACCGGCACACGGCCTATGGCCAAGGAGTGTTTTAGGCACAGGGCCCGATCGCGATCGACTGATACCGAGGCCCCCAGACGCTTTGACCCCCGGGATGACACCGAGGACAAGAATTTCAAGTTCCTGAGGCCGGGCTTAAAGCATCTTAAAATCCTAATCGAGATGCCCAGAGCCCTGCGATGTCTCAGGACGATCGAGGCCAACATTCTCAAGGAGATGACCTTGAAGGGCATCCAGGGCATCAAGAAGGCCTAAGTCGCAGGTGAGACTTTGGTAACTTAGATTCTTGCCCCAACAAAAGCCTGGGCCGCGCCAGAACGACAGCTCGATGCATCCAAATCAACACTCACACCAAGCTGAATAGACCTGTGAATCAAGACTACCTACACTCACGCACTCTGCGCTGACCCAACGCATTGACCCAGCCAAATGGCCCGATCATGAACCGCACGGCGAAACTGGAGCGGATTTCGCCCGCCTGCAAGCCGCGAACAGGAAGCTGACGCTTCCGCATTCCCCGGCTGGTCTAAGACGAATCCAACATGGAGTGAACCTCACGACAGCCTCAGCTGCACAGTCCTTGAGCCTGGCCAAGAGTAGGTTTGAGGTGGGGATGCGTTGTCGTTCCACCGTGGTGTAGCTTTCGGGAAGTAGCAGTGATGTTGGAGGAACCCAAGGGCCCAAGGTCTGACCGATGCACTTGATTGCCCGGTCGGACTCATGTCGACGGGCAGGTGAACATCCCACCCGACCTGCCCCCCCACAGATATGGAATGCCTTTAATTGACTTCTTTACCCACCTTAAAATGACCACCCGCGCACACAATGACCCAATTTGAAGATTGCAGTGGAGTCGGGGCAGGGCAGGCTATCGCCGGCTAGCGATGGTGTCCTGCTTTGGTCGGTTGCTTCATGCAAACGCGGCAGTGCGTTCCCAACCCTTTGCTACTACCTTTTGCAACGGGGACTCATCAGTTTTCTTCAGAAGCAGAAGCAGGTGGCAGGAAGCATCACGCAATGTGCTCACAGCCACTGTTATGTTCCGAGCATGGTAAACAGGCCTGGGGCTTCCTATTTTGTGCAGCTGTTTGTGTAGTGTTTTAAGTTCAGCTAGCAGCAGCTAGCTTCATTGCTGAATCTTTAGATGGGACTATCTTTGAGCGATGGAAATGTACTACCGTTATCAACGTAAGAACGGCCGAGGTGGAGGATGTGTGCTGGGTCCTTGCAATCCAGCACTCTGCAACGCAGCAATCAGCCAATACTTCTTGCCAGGTGTTCATGCGTGAAGACAAGGTCACCAAGTGCTCTTCCCCCGTAGATTCATCCTCCCGGGTTGTGGTCCATTCTTGGATCACATTCTGCATTAACAATGAGACATAATCCAGGTACGACGAGGGGACGGGCAAGTTCGAGAGGTCACAGGAGTGGGTGCTGGACACAGACGGCGTGCTGCCACAATGTTTGGCAGCGGGGAATAGCGAGGGCGAGTGCATCGTCTGGACTGCGCTGCCTTTCGACCATCAACACCCGAGTTACAGCTTTCATGGCCAGGTCAACATGGAGGAGGTCATGCTTCTTGAAGAGGCCAGGCATTTCGGGTCTCAGAGGAGCGAGAGCCAAGGAGGTCGACGGAGACAACTCTGTGCTACTCTCGGATACGTGTTGAGGTGGACTTCAAGCGCCTGCAAAGCAACGACATCGTTGAGATCCTGAACGTGCTAGGCATCGAGGCGACCCGGAAGGCAGGATGGCGGGTAGGCAGCAGACTCAACAGACGTTTGACGCTGTTAGCACCCGGGCGAAGCGTCGGGCAGTTTGACATTCGGTAGGTTCGATAGAGGATGATGGAGGGTCGATTGGCCGGTTTTGGCTTGAGACAGATGTTGCTATCGAGCCTCGTGGCACAGACAAAGGTAAGATCAGCTCGGTATCTCCTTCGGAGACTTTTCCGTAGCGGCTTCGCGGCGATGCCGGAGGTTTGTTTGAGGGCACCTGATATCAGAAGGCGGAGATTCTATTGGCGAGAATATCATGTTTGCCTGGCTTTGAGGCTGAAGGGCCTTTGCTCCACGTCTGGAGACCATCCCAAATCAGCGCCTCAGTGCACATCGCCACAGCAGTTTGACGGTCATTGGTCACTGTCAGCAGGCTCTTCTCTTCCATGTCCGCATGGTGATCTCCTTCGACGGCTCTTACGCCTGCGCCTTGCAGCCGTGTCCGCTCTGAGCAATACAGGACAAGTGCGTTTTGGAAAACTGGCCGGCGGATCTGCTTCGGGTGTCGACTGCGGCACGCTCGCTGGAGTCCAGCTGAACAGCATTTGCCACACACAGACTCAGACATAAGACGATCAGAAGTCCATCTTCTCTCGTGCCCATCCGGGAACCAAGAGCGCAGTCCGTAGTACATCATTGTCGCCGTGAAACCTGTTACAGTATAGGAGGTGTCCAGGTCAGCATCTCGTTTGGAAGGAACCACCTGAGTACAGCTGTCACTGAGGTCAACTACCGACATCTTGGCACAATGTGCGATGTCATGACGAATCGAGGGCGCGGCACCTCAGATTCCAGCATTGTTCGAAGGGTTCATACAGCCGATGGGCACCTGTGGTTCCATTAGGTTGCATACCCGGCTCGTCATATTTGCATGTGATCAGAAACGTCGTTCCTTGTTCGCGGAGGATGTGGAGAATGCAGCTGAAGCTGTTGCCCGCAAATTGCCAGGCATCTAATGGCCATCACTCGCCACGGTGTGAATCGCACCAACATGGGCCCACTGATGAAATGCCTTGCCCTCAGCATGTTCTGCTTCAGCTACGCCTTCTTTCTCCTCTTCTCACTTCCGTCGGGCCTACTACGACGACGAGGTCTACTCTTACTCGCCCCATCCTGTTCCGATCTCGTGGTCATTCAACCGAATGCTACGACTGTTGCATGTTCGCTGTCTCTGAGAGGATGTCGACCCACCCCCGCACCCATCCACCATCCCACCACCACCACCACCTCCTCCTCCTCCTCGGCCGTTTCCTCCTCCTCCTCCTCCTAGTACTACTCCTCCTCCTGCTACTGCTGCTGCCGCTGCTGCTGCTACCTGCTACTGCTACTACTACCACTGCTACTGCTACTGCCACTGCCACTACTGCTACTGCTGCTACTGCTGCTGCTGCTGCTGCTGATACTACTACTACTACTACTACTACTACTACTACTCCTGCTGCTGCTGCTGCTGCTGATACTACTACTACTACTACTACCACCACTTTAGTACTATAGCATGATTACCACCACGACCACGGCGACGACGACTTCGCTACAGCAGTCCGGCCGTCACCAACTTTGCCACGACGTCCATGATCCCATATGTTTGCAACCTCTCGTCTTTACTCCACCCAGTCGCACGATCGACATTGCGCTTTGACTCCTTGACCCGGCCAAGACTTGCTTGTGGGAAGCAAAACTAAGAGAATGCTTTGATTGTTGCTTTGTGATCAATTGTGTCACGTCGGGGTCCCTGTCGCCGTCTGGTGGTTTGTGCGCGACTCGTTGTGATTGCCCTGCTGGCTTGTCAGGTAGCTTCGAAGAGACGGCAGGGGACCTTGATCTGTCATTTTCTGCTGGACAGCCTGGTAGATTCCTTCTCAAGCTGCGGTATGGCCTCACCTTACAGACACCTTTCTCGGTGGCGCTTCGACTTCATGCCAGTATCAGGGCAGATAATTTGAATCTTCCAAGCTTTGCAGGTGGAGATTCTGATGGATGCAGCAGTGTACCATGAGGCTCACTCTCCCCGCTCACGGCTACTCGTAGGCTCTTCGGCGATGTAGGTGATGTGGGACTCTGTGTTTGGACCGGCATGCTTGCAGACGGACCACATGCGATCGGTGTCCGAGAACATCATCTTTGGCCAGCTGGTTCCAGTTCACTCCTTGGCAGAGCTGTCGCTTCTGCTGAGAAAGTTCCATCCCTGCTGCATCTGAGATTGGTACCGGGAGCTTCGATGTCCACATGGATGACATGAAGACTGTGGAGCGGCTTGGGCTTGCGGAGTCTTCGGTATACCGTGGTATACAGTGGAGATGTTCATGCAGGACCCAGAGACGAGCCTTCAGCCTCTCTGTTCTCTGGATCACGCCACCGTGGTCGGGGCCCCATCGACTTTCAGACGCGACCTTAGCCAAGACATTCCAAGGTGCTGCCGAGCAAGTCCAAGAGTGGTGAGGCTCGGAGCCGGCTGATGGAGTCTCTGGTGGAACGAAGTGTTCAGGTGTTCAGGGTAGGGTCTAGAAAATAAACAGGGGCTACGTGGACGAACAGCCTGTCTGACTCTGTCGCAGTACTATTCCGTGAACACCCCGGAGCCTCACATGGAGGATGATGACCTGGAAGAGAACGCTTGGGCCCCAGAGCCGGAGCCAACGGGACTTTGCACGTGCGCGCAAAGGCAGCTGAATGTAACACGATCGAGGTAACGCTTGAAGACTTGCTGGGCCTATCAGTGCACGCAGTCGTAGACAGCATTGACGCTTTGTCACCGCACCGGCATGCCCCGCACACAAGGTCGAAACGCCGCATGAGGACGAGGCAGCCAATGCATTCAGTGTCCTGAGTCTCAAGAGTCTCAAGATGATAGGAAGATGGCTGACTAGGCAATGATTAACGAGCTCTTCCCTACCACCGGAGGCTGGGCCCACGTTCTGCGCATTTCGACAGGGCGTTTCGATTTCACCCCGTGAAAGAACGAGATTGCATGTCACACACTCCCTGCCGGCAGAGAGCCTCGGATAAGTTCTCGGCATTCCTGTCTTTGGGCTTGTTGGACTCTCAGGCTTACAAGGCTTCCAAACATTTGTAAAGATTCGCCCGCTCTCATGCCCTGCCAGGCACATACGCCCACATGGCGACACCGGAGGTGGTTTTCGGGCTAGGAAGACGGAGAAGAATAGATGTAACCCACGTCGAGCTAGGTACGTGTCGGCGCGAGAAGTTGCGTTACGTAAGCGGTCTTCTGTTAGTCTTGTAGATCATCAGTGATCGATACTTCAGGGGCTTCTGCAGAGAACAACGACCACAACTCGGCTCAAAACTTTGTAAGAGAAGGACCTGCAAGACCCGAGCGGGAAACATCTGAGAGTAAAAGCGACGCAGGTTTCGCCGGACTCACCCGGGGATTTGGGAGAAGGCCTGAGCCCGCTGAGTTTTCCATGGGAGAGATGGCGTGTGCTGGCCGAAAAGGCGCCTTCCGATCCCCCTTCAGCGTGGCACCAGCCGGTGGGCCGTCGCCATTCTCTGTGCGGGTTGGGAACCCAGTGAAGCATGCATCTTCGGACCATGAGAGCGGAAGTCTGCCGGATGTGCATGTCAGTTGACAATGCATGTTCCTTAAAGTGCTTCCGCTAGGGAGGCTGATTTCAGATTCCGGCTGCGCAGCTGGTGGGTGGCATTGCCTTTGATTAAGTTGTGGTGTTGGTTGTTGAAGCTGGGTCTGCTGTCGGAGTTTCTACGAATATGAGAGCACGGTATAAGTCTCGAGGCAGGGAGGGTTCAGAGGCCGCATTGCGAATATCTAAGCAGTCGACACCCGTCTAGGAGTAGCAGAGCCTTGCTCGATTATTCTGCCCTTTCTCATACATGCCTGCTTGCAGACTGCCATTGAAAAAGCGGTGTTCCTAAAACCACATGGCCGCGAAATGGAAGCAAAGAATCAATGAGTTGAGGGTCAAGCGGTCAAGAACGTCAGGCACGAGCCGGACATTCTGGTGTTGTGGCTATGAAAATAGCAGTCGTCCTCGCTTGCAGAAACGCAAGAGTTTGTTTGTTAACACATTGGAAGCAGCATGAAGCAGCTGTTCATGTTCTGTTTGTAACAGAGTCATGTCAACCTCAACCAGCTTGCATGCATGAGGCCATGCCGTTGTAGATGTTAAAATGCAGAGATTGCTAGTCAGTTTTTGTTCGAGATGCCAGACTATCGTGGGGACGAGCTCAGCCCGTAGTGAAGATTAGGCTGAATAGGACTGCTATTACAGGTCCAACAGGCTCGATCAGAGCAGCTCCAAGAGAGCGTCAAACACGAGCTACGTGAAACAACTTGCGCTGTGACCAATTACATAGCTTTGGCGTGGCTTGCAATCTACTCGAACGTCCCGACCCCATAAACAGCTTTGCAGTTCGCAGAGCCATGCAAGACAGCTCTCCAGGCTACGCCTCGGGCAACACCCTACGGCGGGTGACCCCTGCCTGGCTTGACCCATGCATGCTGTGTAATATGGTAAAGCCCTCATACCTAAATTCATGCCAGTTGAAGGCGCTGGATAGCTTACTCAAGCTTTGCCACTATGCAACAGTCTCACTGTCCCAGCGCCAGCCCGAACTGCACACCAAACTTTGCTTTGCGCGAGCCAGTTGAATTCGAATGTACTGTGCGTTACAATGCGTTACATGACACCGCTTTGCTTTGGCTCAGCGCTTTTTGATCTCGGCCGTGCCGCGCCTTCCTTGGTAAACGCTTCTTGCCGAATAATTCGTTCATAACCTCGGACTCGATTGAGGCCGACTCTCTCTGGGATACAAAGAGAGTTTCTGACGCAGTTGTTCCAATATTCCAACTCCAATTGACGACAGAGCCTGCTGCTACGATCTGTCGGTTTATTGCCTGTGTTGGTATGCGTGTTGTGCGCAGTACCAATCACTTTATGACCTGTGCGCGGAAACTACTCTTTCATGCTAGAAGCACGAAGCCCTGTTCGCAGGAAGGGATTCGGAGCAGCTAAGGCTTCCCACTCTTGGAGCGATTGGACGCAATGGCAAGCATTGTGGCAGCCCAAGTGCGACCCAAGATACTGCAGCATTTGGAAGCTCGGTAGCGAAAGCGATTCCAGCCCATTTGCAGAAAGCTCTAAAATCGGGGTTGTGACGGGAGAAGCTAGCAGGTGGTGCCCTCGGACATCACCATCGTTGAGGAGAAGAAGACGATCGGAAAGCACGGGCCCCGGAGGGTCCTTTGCAAAACATGCAGTGCATCGAAGATTCTCTGCCAGAGCCTTACTGGCTCAATACTACGATGGGTGTTAAAGGTTTTCGTCGAATACTAGTGGCTTGAAAGGAGGCCCAATCAGCCGAAAGCATTCCTGCAAAGAGTCGAAGCATCGAGTCGTGCACCCCGTCGCATGCTGCAGATTTTCAGGCGCAAGCTGATGCCCTGGGAGCGCACTGGCCTCCTGGGCATGGCGGCGAGCTCAGGCGACTTTTGCGACCTTCCGGAGGTCACTCTGCAAGGGCTCTCAGTGGCAGACAATCGCGAAACCCGGCCCAACTGAGATAAGGCACCTATGCTCCATCTTCACTACAGCAAGCCAGAGACTCAGCATCAGATCAGAAGCAAGAGGTGCGAAACCACAGCTTCGGCAAAGTGCACGGACCCTTCGGCTCATAGCTGTCGGCGGCACATCGTAGATAAGGTTTGATGACAGCTTCATAATCGGCAAACTCAGAGTGTAAAGCTTTGTTGCGAGCATGCCCTTGGCCCTGACGCAGATCGAGTGAATGTGGATGAATCACGGAGTTGAAATTTCAGTGCAGCGGTGCTGGCAGCGCAGATGCGAGTCGGTTGTCGAAGGTGAAATGCTTTATGTGTCAAGTTCCCGCGCCCAAACCCGAAAGCGCCTAAACCCCAACAAACTTTTTAGGCTCACTGGCCCCGGACTCTTATAAGTGTGCGGATGGACTCCTAGAATGGTGATGGGGCGCGGGCATCCGACATCCTTCATGGTTGCTTAGGTAGTATGAGCGTGCTTCGGCAGGCCACTTCAGGAGAGTCGTGACTTAAGGCAACTTAAGGCTTGGCACAAATTACGCGCCGGCACCACACACGAGGATTGCTAAGCCTGTTCCGTTTTCAAGGCCAATTAAGGGTTGACCCTAACCTTGTGCAACCGAAAAAAATGCCCAACGTGTCCCTGCGAATCCGATGCGGGATCGCGGCCGGTTCGTGCATCTGATAAGGCTGGACAAGGGCGACAAGCGCAAGATCCTCTCCCGGAAGTTCGATCCGGATGTGGTCCTGGCCATTTCTGGCGCTTTCTGTAGACTAGGCAAGCCTGAGGCAAAGTCCAAACATGATTCTACACCCATCCCGCGAGACAGAACGCGATGTGGACTTGTTTGAAGGCCATGTAAATCTTTCTTGTTGAGAACAGGTCACAGTCGCCCCCCGACCCGGTCACACTGCGATTTGCCAAGCAACAGCATGACATTCCGAAGCCAAGATTGTCGCAAGACGATCTACCGGAGATGGCGGCTGAACATTTCCCTTCCTGCAACAGAAGCGAGACAAGATCTCTTCTCTGCTGAAGCGTTACTCGCGACGAGTCCACCTGCGAGTCCGCTCGGTGTAAGGCTTTAATGCTACACATTTTTTGGAAGCTTCATTGGACCGCTGACCGGCTGCAGCCAGGACGCCTCTGAGGCCAACCAGATCTGCATCCGCCGACAGGACGGATAACCAGCCTTGCCGGGTCTGCAAAAGACTCCTCATCTATTTTCCGCGAGCTTTCAACATGATGCAGGTCGCATATATTGGCACAAATCCTGTGCCCTATGCCCTCTTGCAGTGCTCCCTGCTACAGCGGCTTTCAGAGCTCTCCAGGAGTCCGTTCGGAAGGAGGCCCCCTCCTGCATATTTTTCAGCGCATAAAGCTTCTGTAAGGAAGCGCCGCTCACGGTTCTGTGCTGAAGGGATCAGGCAGTGCAACCCATTGCAGTGAGGGGCTGAGAGGTGGTCAAGTTGCTTCGGACCGAAGTCACAGGTGCCTGAAACCACGCAGAAGCTTTCAGCTCGCGCGTAGGTGGTGGCCACGAACTTCATGTGGGACACTGCGCTGGGGACGCAGTCACGCTGACTATTGAAAGACTGAGTCAGCAGACTTGTGAACTGCATGTGTTCTTCACTCGAAGCTGCGCGCTATGCTTCTATCCTTCTCTTGACAGTCCCGAGTCTAACGCACCTAACGCGTCCAAAATCACTCATCTCGAGACTACGAGGTTGACCATGGCGGGGCTGACTTGGTGGTCCTTCCGCAGGCCAGAGCGCGTCAGAAAAAAACACCAGACTTGACGGCCTTCGAGCAAGTATTCACCATCGCCAAAAGACGAACCCGGGCAGGTACAACTACCAATCGCGTCTCGTCGCTCTTCCCTTCATCTTCTATGGCCCGCAACTTGGGATGTGGCAGTCCTCCAAGAAATACAATATCGGATGCGAGTCTCCATTAAGGATACCTCGTGATCCCTTCTTTGTACTGTCAAGACCTGTAGCCTTTCAGCCGAGGTGGAACCTTTGTCGGTCGCTGCCTTGGCCGAAAAGAGTCTAGAAGCCTATGTCTTGAATTCCGAAAGCTATTGCTTGGGCCTTCGTGACCAGGACGTGTGATTGGCGACGTCGTCACAGGCCTAGTGGTGAGCGTGTGATGATGCACAGAAGCACATGACATGGTTACAGTAGTCCTTTCCCGGCCCACAATCATTATCAGGCATACACCTTCCCAAATTTAGCTTGATTTGGGACGCGGCAGTCTACATATTAGGGGGCGTTTCGGAATTGACGGGATGGGCTGTCTGCGGCTTGCAGATCCTGCAGCCAGCAGTCCCCTTCAGCCTGTGGTTTCTTGCCTGTAGTTTCTTGCAGCCGGCACTCCGATATCCCTTTGGCCGCGGTTCTTGCAGTTTGTTCCCTGTGGCCTCTGCCGGCTGCAGTTCCTACGGTCCTTTCAAAGCTTTCCATGCTCCTACTACTAGTCCTGGTCAGAGTACTAATAGTGCTACCACTAGAACCACTGAACAACTCTTCAAACTCCACAATGCGGGAGGACGAGAGCATAGTAGTAAGAAGCAGCTGCCGACACCACCAGCCCTTTCTCCTCCTTGCATGTCACGGTGCGTCGTAGTAGCAAGTGCCGGTCCCATAAATCAATAAAACGAATACAATCCTGGTTGCCCCCTCATAATCATCCCTTGACCGTCCTTTAGTTTCCTTTGCGTGATCCGAAACCTCAAAATTCACCGCCGAGCCATTCTGTAATTTTGCGGGGTTTGCACAATCAAGGACATGGAGTACTCCCGCTGTTGCAAGTTCGGAGACTTGTGGCATGGAGGTTTTGACGATCAGCAACCGGAGTTCGTTCGTATCTTCCGCAACCATTCGAAGCCTTGCAGAAGCCTGGCAGGTCGGAACGGTGAGTGGAGCCGTGATCGCTTTTTGGGCCAGCTTCCTGCCAAGGCACAGTGCTCCTGCGTCGACTTCGAACCTCAGATTCTGGCTCCAGCCACTTACTTAGTCCTGATGAAAGCCGAAGCACTCCAGGAATCAGGGGCATCGGGTCTCTTTGTGGCCAGACTGAGACAGGTCCGTAGTGGCGGTAGAATCCAAAACAGACCGAAAAGGTGGAGTGAACTGTAAGAGACGACCTGCGCCAGGTGTACTACAACTGAGCAGCATCTGACGGGTCGTAGCAGCGCCAGATGTGGATGCAAAAGAACCCCAGAGTCGGGGCTCCGAAGTGCAGGTTTTGACTCGAGATCGCAGGCGGGTTCGGGCCCATGGCCTGTACTCTAAGGATATCTTCCCTCTGTACACACCTCGCATCCTGTCAGGAGCATCCCCACGTGAATCGATTCGCTGCCATCGACTTTTTAAGGAACGTGCTGCCAGAATGGACGAACACACCACACCCAGACTATAGGCCGGCTTCAGAGCCGTGGGTCCAAGATTTGGCATGTAAATGAGAGTATGAGTGATGGTGATTTGAGCGAACTATCTGCAGGCCAGGCTTGATGGTGATGAAGGTGAGCTCGTGTAGCGGAGGCTCTCGTGTAGGGTGCGTGGCTTTGCCAAACACCCTGATGCCAGCCGCATACAAGCAGCATTCGATTAAGTTAAAGTTGAGGTAGGCAACAGTTCAAGTGCCAAGCGGGTGGGGTGCGTTCTGCAGAGCGCTGCCGAGCCAGACGATACGACTCACTGCACTGAAGGTCGGTTTTTGAGATTGGAGATGCCTCGGTGACGAGCGCATTTGGGAGATCATGGCCCTCGCGGAGAACAGGCAGAGAGTCTCGTGTCACGAACCCGTTGACGTGGCGTGGGCGATTGAGTTAGAGCCTCTTGGATGGGCTCGGGCACGCTCAGCTTTCACGAGAGGTTCGCCGAGCGAAGGCCACTGAAGATGGCAAAGGTTTGTGGTGTTCCGTAGGATTCTCGCTGTGGGTATTGCTGGCACTGTGCCTTCGGTGGGTCTTCTGGCGAAGCATTTCCGATGATATGCTTGGATACCAAAAAGGCCACTATCAGCAAACTGGTGTCTTTGTTCTCGTTTGTGGTACTTAGTGGTCGCTTGCATTGTAGAGATCTAGGTCCAGGTTGGACAGGTGCCATCACTTCTGTGTCCTGAGATGGTGGACCGCTTGTTTAGAATGCTTGTCAGTCACTTGCATCGATGCGGCACTGTATCTGGAGAACCGTGAGAATCCACTGCAAAGGAGCAGGCTGCATTGCGCTGCAAGCTAGTCGCACATGAATAAATGACTTAACAAATCGCTCAGTAGCTAAATGCGTGGAGAGTGAGGCAGACAGAGGCTACGTCCCGCATGTAGTCGGAGCGCGTTTCCACTGCCAGGATGTACACGCCTGCTCGGAGCGACTTCTCCATGGCCAGCCCGTTCTCAGCCTTCGCATACTCTCCGGCCAGCGCAGAGTACTCCCCAGTCAGGGCCTCATTGCAGCAACGATCAATGCAGAGCTGACACTCTGAATCCTGTCGTCGTTGATGTTGTGGTGTGGCGTTCGATTTTTGCCATGTTTCGCACTAAGCACAAAACGGGTTCACCTGGCCTACTCGGAGGAGCACGAGTGACCATGCAAGGTTTCCAGGTAAACTCAGCTGGAGCCTTTCCTTCGCCATTGCGAGTACCTGTACGGTCTTTGTTCGTGGAATTGGTCTTGCGCCGGCAAGAAGAGCTCTCGGGCTGAAGTCATGTAAGGCCGAGAAGAGTGATGACAAGAAGAAGGAAGAGTTTGCGATTCCCAGCCCGACCTACTCTCCCAGGTCCTCCAGCATGAGTTTGCAGATGAACCTAGGATTGAGTACCAGAAGACGGCTGATGATGCCCTTAAGCGGTTTGCGGTTGCACGTTCCATTACATGTTCCACCGCTACTACTAGCTGTATAAAGTATTAGTTGTGCTTGACATGCTGGGCCTGCCAACAATTGTTGAGAGGAGACACTTGACAGCGGCAGTTGACACATGCACCCTTTGCGACTCCGAAGAAAGCCTTCGCCACTGCAATGTAGTTTGGGTGGAAGAGCCTGTTTCGGGCTGTGGCTGGATCGAATTCGCAGCGATGGTTTTGCAGAGAATGTCATCGGACTCCCGCTGCCCCTGCAGTCCGTCGGTCATCTACTCGGCCGTCAGCAAGAGCCCGAAGAGCCGGCTCACGCCACACACCAGTGCCTTTGTGGCATTTGGCGAGTCTAAGGGGTCACGGGCTTCGAGTCTCTCAGGGATGTCTGAAGACAAGGCTGACTAGCCTCCAACAGCCCACGTCGACACTCGAGAGGGCTTCGTTTCAGTCGCCTGCACACTTCTTTATACCTAAGGGAAGGCAAAGCGTCTCATCAAGCATTAGCTGGCTCTGACATCGAGTCGTCGGAGGTTTCTAAAATCAGAAGGGGAAAACATAACATCAAGCGGAAGCTGCTGCGGAAGCTACAGCAGTTGTTGGATGTGTCGTTCTGGACTCTCACTCCGCGGATCCCTGCGACTTGCAGACGCCGACTTCGAAAGTAAGAAACCCAAATCAAGAGCAGAGATGATTGAGTCGTTTAGTCCAGAAAAGTCAACAACAAACTCTGTGGTAACTCAGCCGGGGGAAGTGACAGCCGGTTTTGGAACTTGTGTAGGGTTGAGGTAGATGGCGGGAAGCCAAGATCAAGACCTTGCAGCAGGTTGAGGGATTTGGAGAAGCCGATTCACGCAAAGTCACATCCGAGTGTAAATCAGCCTCACCGTGAAGGCCCGGGGTACTCGCTGAGCAGCAAGCCGCGGTCTTAGTTTCTGCTCCACTGATGAACTTGTGCTGTCGACCTTGGTGCTTAGGTACTGCTTGTTTTCGCAACTCCATAGGGGGCAGTTACTGTAACATGTTGCGCAGGTACGGGGGACCACGATCGGCGATGTACACACCACGATCGGCGATGTACACGCCTACCTCGCCAATGAGGTTGGCATGGCAGTTATAGGGGGAGTACAGCAGCTGTCAGCAGCTCCTGGCGAAAGCAAGGCTGCTGTTGCGTGCAAATCATGGACCGTGCTAAAATTTGATGAATGTGAATGCCACAGCTGCTGAGCTCCGTGCTATGGCTGCACAGGAGGCTGTCGGGCGTGAGAGAGGAAACCAACGATCTCAAAGAAGCGACTCCAGATGGTTTCCCGCAACCCACTCCACACTGCACATGTTGCTGTCAGTGCGACGACGAAGGGGCACGAGGGTGCCGGCAGTCCTGGGCTCAGATACTGGGATTATGAGCTCAGCAGCATTCGCCTTGGACAGTGTGACTGTGGTCCGCTTTCTGGCGGTTTGTCGGACTGCTTCGAGCGACGATGCAGATCTTCAGTCGTTAGACTCATTGGACAACGGCCATGTGTGACTTCCTGAGTGTGCGAGGCTTGCGAAGAACATTAGTCTGGGCTCCAGGTGAATTTCATATGCCAGGTCGCAAGCATGTAGCAACGAGACTGCTCCAGAATTATTTGGGCATCTTGTCAAGTATGCCTTTGCCCGTCAGTGCGCATAGACATCATTGATTCGCCTTGCCGTCCGATGCAAGACAATTCCAAGCTCAGGCGCACGCTACACGCCGCTGAGCAGCCCGCAGGGGCACACGGAGGGCGGGGTTACAGGGTTGTAAGTTGCGGCGAAGTCTTCGCGAGGTTCTTCTTTGCGTGGTCTGTACATATGCTCCGGCAGAGGCGCTCACTGGTCTGCCCGTGTGCCCATCTTTGCACTTGTTCAACTCTGCCCGAACCTGCGCTAAGGTATGTCAGTCCTACATCGGCAATATACTCACCGACCTCGCCCATGCTGTGAGCTCAGAAGACTTCGTACAACGTCTTTTCCAAGGACTATCTACAGGAGTCTCGTCGACATAATCACGAAAGCAAGCTCTGTGGACCTTGCAGGAGTTGACGTTTACCATTCACATACTAGTAGTAGAGAAGAGAACCAAGTCAAAAAAAACGTGCAGGACCTATCTGGTCCTTTCTCAATAGTTAAAGGGGATGGTAGGGGGGGGGCTGCGCCACCACACAAATGATTGATTCAGAACGATCAAGGTGGCAGCAAAACTGTGCAAGGTGGGGGGGCCCTCCCCTCCTTTGGTCCCCCCCTCTCCCCCCACCTTAAGGTTCATCTGTACGTAACATGGCAACTTGCATTTTGTCTTTACGCGGCCGAGTGCGTCTACCAGGCTTCAAGTCGGCTGCCTCAGTAATTAGCTAAACTGCCACCATGACAGTTCGAAGTTGCTCGTAGACGACCGAGCTATTGCTTTTCCGGAAGCCAATGAGGTTGGTCAAGTTACTACGGTACGACAAGATCGTATCTGTGTGTGGGCCAGTGTAATGCAGAAGAACACTATATCCTTGCAGATTGAAGCTTCATGGCAGTACATACGTTCTTGCATCCACGCTGCCGAGCATGCACGCAGTAACGACCGAGCTCTATCGACTCTCCATCCTTTTTCTTACCCTAGCTTTCGTGGCCTCTTTTCAAGTTCACTTGCAGCGGCAAGCCTGCTGAGACGATGTGCAACCCAAAGTCTATAGTGTGAGAGGGCGTGAAGTGAACATCTTGCTCCGAGGCCTGCAAAGACGGTCGCAGCGACAGCCACACCAGGCCCATTCGGTGTGACTGCCAGGTCTTTGGCTTGCGAGAAGTCGCCAGTTGTCGTCTTAACAAATTTGTGGGATGAAAGGAACCAGACCGGACAAGGGAATTCGGCTGCTGGGGTTGCCTAAGCCTAAGCTGCTCCGAGAAAAGACAACCCATCATGCGTTGGCTTGCGAGCGTCCTTTCCAAAGCAGCCAAAGCAGCAAGGGTACGAGAGGGTGCTACTGATGCTGTTTGGATCAGTGCTTACTACTGCTGCTGGTCGTCGTTGTCTTCGTCGTCATAGTCGTAGTAGTACTCCACCTACGACAACTACTACTTCTCCTCCTGCTACAACCAGCAACTACTGCTACTACTGCTCTCACTGCTGCTACTACCGCTAGTGCTGCTGCCACTGCGGTTACAGCTGCTGGTACTGCTACTGGTTCTTCTACCTGTTGCTGCTGCCGCTGCCACCACCGCTGCTGCTACTGCTTCTGCTACTACTTCCACTGCTGCTTCTACTACTGCCTTCAATTACTGCCAATGCATTTGCTACTACCAACGACTCGCACCCAGCTTCGCCTGCCAGTGTGGCTGCCGTCTACATCGATTTGCTGGGTTGTGTTGATCTGCGCACTGCCTGACCGGAGGATACTCGCCGACCATGACGATGATGCACTCAGTGGCCACTCGCCCGAACTTCTCTGAAGGAATCACGAGACATCCTAAACACCGCAGCAACAGGTTGTTTGGTCTCTTTCCTGGCAAGAAAAGACCCAGGCGCTTGTTCTGCGAATATGAAATACTGAAGGGGACGGGCCGTTTTCGGTGTCGTCACACAGCAGTGTAGTCGGTCCTCGGGTTCTTGCGGGACAAACCTAATTTCGCAGTTCGTCGTGCAGAGCTCTCGCACCGCATCCAATCGCTGCCGCTGCTGAGGCCTCGGATGCAGGACAGGCGTCGCCTGAGATTGATCAGGCGAGCCGACTCGCTTTGCCTGAGCAGGGCCAAGCCAACCTCAGGAGGAGGATATGCCTCCTTCACTTCAGCCGTCTTCTCTGGAGGATCATGGCAAAGGGTCCGGTCAGAATGCGGCCTCCTCTGTTGCATTGAGTGGTTTCTTCCGTAAGGCCCAAATTATAGGTTGTCGAGTGTTGTCTCGTTGGATGTCGGAGACTTGCGACCTACACCTGAAATCCACCTTTGGACCTGCAGGCCAGATGTCACAGGAAGGAGAGGTGTTAGGTTACTTAGGTTCCGCAAATCCTGTAAACATGATGTCCACTCACAGTCTCAGAGTGAGCTTCCGAACTTCCGGCAAAGTAACGATGCTGAGGGTTACAGTGTTCCTGCCAAGACCAGACGAAATGCTGCCACTCCAGCTTCTGCAAAGTTCAGCAGCCGGCTGCTGGTGTGCACGCGCAGCTTCAATCTTTTCTGGAAGGCATTTCTGGTAGACATTGCCAAACAGCCAGCAGCAAAGGCAAGTGCCCGAAGACATTGAGCTCAGTTACTTGTGGGCAGGCTTCCGGAGATGCTCCTCAAGGCCTACTGGGCCTACTGCTTGCATGCTGCCGTGCTGGCACCGGCAGCCATGCCGTCTTCGTTGAGTGAACTTCACGAGGGACTGACCGACTGACTGACTGACTACACTGAACGACTGAACAACTGACTGCTTGCCTGACTGACTACCTAGTTGGGTGGCTGCTGACTGGCTGACTAACTGACTCACGAGCGAGCGAACGAACGAAGAAGGAGGGAAGGCAAGAAGGTAGGAAGAAAGGAAGGCAGGAAGGAAGGAAGGAAGGCAGGAAGGAAGGAAGGAAGGAAGGAAGGAAGGCACGGATGAACCAACAGTCGAAAGGGCGAACGATCCAGCTACCGACAGACCGACCGAACGAACGAACCGAAGAACGAACGAACGAATGCGCTTACGAACCAACGAAATCACTGATTACCGACTTTACCCAGCCGCCTGCTTACCTCCCTCCCTGCCTGCCTACCTACCTAACTCACTCATTTACTCGAACACTAACTAGCCGTAACTAGCAAGCAAGCTAGCTAGCTAAAGCAACTAAGTACCAACCAGAAACTAGCAAACAAACGTGGACTAACTTAACTGACTAACTAGCTAGCTAACTAACTAACTAACTAGCTAACTAACTAACTAACTAACTAACTAAAAAACTGACAAACTAACTAACCAGCTAACTAACTAACTAACTAACTAACTAACTACCTAGCTAACTAACTAACTAGCTAGCTAACTAACTAACCAACCAACCAACTAACTGACTAGCTAACCAACCAAGTAGCTAACTAGCTAACTAACTAACTAACTAACTAACTAACCAACCAACGAACCAACTAACTGACTGACTGACTGACTGACTGACCAATTAACTAACTAACTAACCAACTAACTACCCAACTAACTAACTAACCAGCTAACTAACAACTAACTACCTAGCTAACTAACTAGCTAGCTAACTAACTAACCAACCAACCAACTAACTAACTGACTAACTAACCAACCAAGTAGCTAACTAGCTAACTAACTAACTAACTAACTAACTA